AGGAGGAGGGCGCGATGGCAGCCGGGCCGCTCTGCCCGAGCTCGGAGAAGGGGCCGAAGCGTCGCCGATGGCTCCGCCGTCGTCATCTGCGGCCAAATAAACCCCTTCGCGTCCACCTCGTAGCTGCGGCCGTGTCAACGCGTTGACCCTGTAGCTCTTGGCAGCTTCTCTCCCGGCAGCCGCGCGCTGCTGCGAGGGTGGAGGTGGAGAGAAGAGCCCCTGTGTTTGGGGGAGCGGGCTGGTGCCCGCTGCAGGCGCTGGCTGCTCAGACCCCCGCGTTCAGGCGGGTCTCAGCTTTCGAGGTAACTTAACCATCCATGCTTTCCACGAGGGATTTAACCTGAAAGTTGGAGGAGGACCAGCCTGACCCCGGTTGAGTCTCGGTCCTTCACGCGGAGCTGCTCCAGCCGTCGCCTCAAAGGGCTCGGCAGCGACGAGCGCGGCACGTCGGTGCGATCCTGCTCTCCGGGAGGTTACTGAGCCAGTGAGAGCTTGGCCCGGCCCGGTCGCTTCCCTGCTAAGAGCAACCTGAGCCAGTTTGGTGCATTCAGATACAGGAAAAAGCTGGAAATAACTTCACTTGTGTCACTGTTAATTTTGAAACAGCCTGAGTTTAAATGACTCCAGTTTACTGGCTTGCTGTGCCCTCTAGAGGACACTCTACTTTTCCCCTTATTTTTTCCACTAACGTGGAAGTTGGATTTTAAAAGCAGGGTTTTGCCGTATTTGAGGCTGGTTTTGCAGTATCCCACATACCGTTTGACCTGCCCCTCAGGGGGCATTTACCGAAGGTGTGTTTCGCAAACCTTATCGGGGTACGCAGCTTTTCAGTGCCGTTGTTCAGTGTGAATATCCTTTGCATCACTAAATAAGATAATAAGGATTAATTCCTGTTAATCATTGAATTCCTAATAAATGTGGCATATCAGTTAATTGTGGTTTAGTCTAAGAAGTAATTGCCCGATCCTTAAAAGTACAGAGCTCATGTGCCACATCTCTGATTTGTGAATAGTACAAACCACACTTAAATGTTTGCTTCATCTTGCTTGATAAAAATTCTTTATGCATTTTGTCTAGTGCGTAACTGTAAGCCAGAAGATTCTCACTGTAAACTTCTCCGTTCCTGCTGCTGGCTTTGGGTTACAGGAGAAACGGAGCGATTCCTTGCGTTACGGTCTCCCCAAATTCTTGCTGTCGGCCCTTTCTCAGGCACCGCCGTCGTTTCCTGGGTGGTGCAGAAGACTTTGCTGTCCCGTTCCTGTGAAGCTCCTGCTAAACCTCTTGGCAATCACGTGGTGCAAACCTTGCTCTGAAATACTGAGCGCTTCGTAGTTTGAAATCCCAAATCCTGGTACCGAAGGTGATCTGACAGTTACCAGCTTGTGCAGCGGAGGAGAGGCACTGGCGTCCGTTGTCACGTCATCTCTGTCCCTTTTGGTTCACGTAGTGGAAGATTCTGCTCTCATATAATTGTAGGTGATGGAGCAGAGAGGTGATTTATTGTCAGGAATTGAGGTGGAAGGTGCAGCCATCACTCTAGACACTGAGCATTAAAGCCAAATAAAGAGTGAAAATCAGTGTGTTCCAGTGGTTTTCGATGAAGTTGCGCTGATGTGTCCATCTGTTGAGACAGTTAGAGGTTTCCACTGTTAATAGTGGAAAAGAATTCAGTCGTGTTGGTGTAGAAAATGCCATAAAGTACCTGCCTGAATAGGTGTGAATTGTTTGTGTGGGGTTTCCTTCAGATGCGGTAACTTGGATGGGGAAAAGTCACAAATAATCTGCTTTAGGAAAGGAAATAGAAAAGGCCAGGGGTGGTTTTGCCTTCCAGCACATTAAAGAGCAGCAGCAGCAAGTGAGCTGTTTGTCCCTGGATGAGGGGGGGGATGTGTCTGCCCCTGGTGGGAGCAGTGCCCTGGAAAAAGCCTCTGTGTCTTCTTAGGGGGGGGGTTGTGTGTGAAGTGACTGGTGGAAAAGCTGCTGATCTGAAGGAATTCACCATGGCTGGTGCTGTGGCTGCGGCTTGCCTCGTGGCTTTTTTTATACTGGGAAGCTTAATATCCACAAGGAGAGCAGAAACGGATTGAGCTCCTCCAGGTCGGGTTTATTCAGAATTTGAGAGATTTGGGATTAATCTAGCAGAAGGTTGTAAATAACGTTACTTTGCAGCACGAAGTAGTTGTCTGCTTGTTTTTGTTAACTCATTCTCTGTGTTTTTCTTTTGATTTGCAGTGAAATAAAGAGAGAAAAGCGAGTCCCCTCACCGGACGTTATAGTGTTATCCGACAATGAGCCTTCTAGCCCTAGAATGAATGGTTTAACAAAAATAGCGTTAAAAGAGACCAACACAGAGGCACTCATGGTGAGTCGTCTTGTCTTGACACGCTTTAAGTTGTGCCATCTAGAAAGAAGAAAACGCACCACTTGTCCTACAGAGGCACCTGCGATCGCAGGGTCAGGCGGATACTTGGCTTTATAAAGACGGATTTGCAAGCAGGGAGTCTGGAAGCTGTTAAAGGCTGATGTCCTTTTTATTTTTTTCAGGCTCTTAACTCTGTGATTTTTACGTGTTTTCAACGTGCCCCTCTTTCAGAATGGGCTTTTTAGTGGACACAACATCCCTTACTCAGCATGGCGTATCAGGGGTTTGTTGTCTGACTCCTCATTTGTCTTATTTTCCCTAGCAAAACAAGTAAACAAACTCAAAAAGGTTTTTTTTGCTTTTTGGATTCTTCCTCTCTACTCAGTTTGTGTCCACGTATTGCAGGCATGTCGGTGATAGTAAGACATACGTGACAACTATCATGCTGTAAGTTCTTGTCATAACTGGTATGGTATCTGTCTTTCCCTCTCCCCCCCTCCCTGTTTCCCATCCTCTATTGCCTTACCCGGCCCTGCAGAAAAGCAGCCCAGAGGAGCGTGAGAGAATGATTAAACAACTAAAAGAAGAGTTACGGTTAGAAGAAGCAAAGCTTGTTTTATTGAAAAAGTTACGGCAAAGTCAAATCCAGAAGGAGACCACTACTCAGAAGGTATTTCTTTTCCTACAGATACTTGTTCGTCTTTTGAAACAGAGGGGAAAAAATTTAAGTACCTGTGGCAGTTGCAGTAACCTCTGGAACGTAAGATGGCTTTCAGATGAAGCACATCTCGCTTTTCATGAAGTTTATAGTGGTTTATCCTGTTAACTATTCGTTTTTGTGGAATTCCTTTTTTTTTTGTCTTGCCGAGACCAAACGACAAGACAGTTTGTCCTCTCGACCGTGTTGAGAAGCTGAAGACCTTTTTGTTAAAGCTCAGACACGTTTACGAGTGCAGTCTGCTTCCAATTGTTAAACACTCCGTCCAGCCCTTCGTGCCGTCTAGGGATGGCTGGAGGAGGTTCAGAGGAGATTCTTGCGCACACCAAATGTGCTGACAGGTGGAGTTCAAGCGTTTGAACCCCAGGCTCTGGGAGCTGGTGGCAGAGGGCTGTGTGTTGTGCTGCGTGGCAGAAGCCGGGGTCTGAATTCCGGGTCTGACCAGGTGAAGAAAGTCTGCGGTTAGCCACACGCTTCCGTCGTCCAAACAAAATCCAGGCAGCCCCTGGAAGCACTGGTTCAGCCGTCCCGCCCTGAACTCCCTTCCCTGGCTCCTCTCTTCTCCCCACCCCTCGCCTCGCACGACGGCGCGCCGTACCCGGAGTGCTGGGAGGAAAGCCGTTTTCATCGGAAAACGACCCGGCAAAAACATCGGCCTTTTTGTCAGAGCGGTTGCCCGGCCTGCTCGCTGCGTGTGCCCCTCGCGCTGGCACCGAAGGGCGGAGGTGGAGGGCGGCAGGAGAAGAGCAGGGGAGGAGGTTGGGAGGCGAGGGGGGCGCGCGAACACCCCCCACGCTGCCGTCGAGGCAGGGGCTAAATTTGAAGTACCTGTCACAATGGCAACGAAACCGTTGTGTTATACAGCGTGTGGTGCTGCCTTAATGGAGCTTGTGCTGGGGGCGGTGCGTAGGGTTGAGCGGTGGCTGTCAGAGCAGCTCTGGGCTGGTTTTGGTGGTTTCATTGGCGCCTTTCTCCCGGACTTCTCAGTGCTTCGGTAGTTTGGATTAAAACCAATGCAAGTACCTGCATCGCTCGGCTCGCTGCTGAGCGGTGAGCTTGGGGGGTTTGAACTGACGAGGGTGAAATGGCTTCATAGCTTAAACTTCTTAGTCGCTGAAGTCTGTTTCCTAAACTTTTTTTTTCCCTTTGCATTATGCTTGAATCTCGTCACGTGAGACTAGGAGTAATGGTGGATAAGACTGAAGCGGGCTGTAAGCTGAGACTGCTGAAGTAGATTCCCACATTGCTCTGCTTTTGGTGTATAGAGTCTTAATAATCTTATCTCTACTTACCTAATAACTTCTTCATTTAAATGCGCATGTTGAGATGCTTGGAGGAAGAAAGGGATGGGGGAGGGGGGGGAACCACAGACTTGGAAGGTTCTCTTACTGAGGCACAAGGAGGTAAATGCTTTTATTCCCTTAGCTTCTGTAATTCTGCTTACACCCTTACACTCGTCTGCTTTCTTTCTGGTTTTTCCTCTTCCAGCCTGCTGGTTCCTCTGGGAGTGCTGTGGCCACCCCTCCACCCTTGGTGCGGGGACCGCAGAGCGTTCCTGCTGGCAAGCCGTCCCTCCAGGTCAGTGGGGTGGGCCAGGCTGCCAGGTTCAGGGCATGGAGCAGAGAAGGAGGTGCGCAGTGCAGGAGAGGCAGTGCCATCGCAGCAACGCCTTGGAGCCAGGGGGAATATTTTCATTTTAACTCCCAAAACCCCACTATAAGCTTTTTAAAACCGGTTGGGGTGGGAGCTGTAAGTAGGACGTCACAAGGAGATAACTCTCACAAGCTTATTTCTCAGTGGGTGACCATCCTGATCCACTCTGCTGGTAAATACATCCATACCAGTGCTAACGACCTTTGGCGAAGGAGGATGCCACCGAGTTATGTCATAGAAATACTGTGGCAGCCTGTTGCCGTATCCTCGAGAGACTTCATTGTGCCCTCAGTATGATTAACTGTAGGAGCTGAGTGAATCCTATGATTTTTCTCCTTTGGCATGGCTGAATGGCACACGATGGTAGGAAAGATCTTGCTTCAGTTTAAATTAAAGTTGGAAAGCCTTGGGGAAGGGAAAAAAAAAAAAGGCAGAGGCAATTGACATCTGTCAATCCCGTCTTCCTCCTGAGTCTAGTGTCTTGTTTTGCCTTTGGGTTTAAAACATTTCTGGTTATTTACCTTGGGCTGATTGGAAACAAATTTCAAAACTGCTTCAACACAAAATGCTTTCACTTGGAAGATGGCAGCTCTTCGTTTCAAAATCCCCTGGAATGCTATACTCCAGGGAAGGGATAAATTTGCTATCCATTTAGGGAACGTTCACAAAACCTAAAGCAATCTGTCAGTTGGAGTAATCTCTTCCTTGAGGCAAGTTGCCTTCACTGAAGACAGCACTTTCAGAGGAACTGGACCACGACTTAAATCTTCAGCGATCACACATTGAAACTTCAGTTGGACAGAGCAGAGAGCTGGGAGTTAAGAATCCAGAGTTGAACTTATTCCATCTAATTTGTGGTGTTTGGGCAAATTTACCTAACCCCCGTCTGCTTTTGCTTGACTGTAAAAACTCTACTAATTCCTCTGCGTAGGAGTTGCGTTAACATTTGGCCTTCGGTTGAAAGGCATAACAGCAGGGGATAAAACTTCCCACCTGCCTAAATACGTACGTGTGTGTGCACGTGGTAACTCAGGGGAGTGGGAGCCTCAGTGTTTTCGGAAGTCTTCGTTCACGGACGATGGTCACTTTGGGGCTGGAGTGGGGGAAGTGGCAAAATACGTAAAGCCACCTGAATAGGACGGGGAGGTTTGTCGCTCTGGAGCAGCGAGGGCTTCTCGGGCTCGATTGCCTGGTGTTAGTGGCCTGCAGGAATGTCAGTGATGCACAAACGGTGTCACCTCTTACAGCATCACGAGAAACTGAGGATTTAAGGCAGTCTGCCGCCCAAAAAGCACAGGCAGCAATTTTTCAGATTCCTTTAGCCCGATCCCTTTTCTCTTTTTCTAAAGCTTTCCCCTTTTCCTGTCTCTGTTTTTTCCTTCCCACGTACATGCACGTGCCCAGTCTGCTCACCTCCCCGGGTTCCTGCTTCTCCAGCCTCTTGTCTGCCCTCTGCTTCTCCTCAAAGACAGCAGTTTGTGTTTCCCCAGTCTCTTACTCCCCCCAAAATACACTTTTTTTTTTTTTTTTTTTCTTTGAACACTTAACTGCACCGAAGCCAGCCCGGCCATCTCTTCTCCTGCAGTCTGTCCGTTGGCTCAAGACCCAATACTGCCTCCGTCCCATCATCCCGAGGGGAGAGCTGCGCCCTGGGCCCCCGCTCTGCACTCGCGTT